GTGTGTGCGTGCGTGCTTCCGTGCAATAGACCCTTGCCTCAAACTGTTTGCCAGACGCAATGCCTATCTACACATATGTATATTTGTTTTTGAAGGTCATCATTAGTTTCATTCGGTTTGTGCCATGATGGTAGCTTTCCCCCCTTCATGGCGGAAAATCTGGCTAGGCTCGACGACCAAACGGAACCGATGACTGCCAACGACATCGCTCATTAGAGTTGACTTACACCAGAACTAGCCTCAGCCTATAAGCGATGCCTTATTGGCAGGATTGGTTCAGTAAGTTTGGTTTTGTCAGTATGGGTACTATAGGGCTAACCAGATTGTCTTCCACCACGGGCAAAACTGACAAAAAAGCCAAAATCAATGACGATCTTCAATGATAACAAATGCATTTGATTTCAATCAAGGCCATGCATCCAAAAATCGATTTGAGCAGTTGGTCTCTTTACAGTGTGCATTGAAGCTGCCAGAAACCGAACTGAACAGAACCAATCCTCCAAAGTAAATAATGAAGTGACTATTCGGACTTGAGTCCGATTAGACAAAAATTATATTGGAACTCTGAATTGAGTCCAGTATGAGTATGACCTCCGTTCCGATTTCCGACCCTTGTTCCTAAATATTTCCAGCATTTATGAAAATTTGTTCGATTATAATGATAACAATCGAGGCGTGAGCTTTAATATCCAGTTACTAGATCTATCTAAACTGGCCCTCCCTGCATCATTAGTATGAGAACAGAACAACCAAGTTGAGTTGACCGTGCCAGGGGCAAATTTAATTATAAATGTCAACCAATGAGATTGTGCGTAGTGATCACGCACTCTGGGGGAAGAGGTGTTGGGAAGAGGCCCCGGCAGTCGATTTTGTGCGATGTGACTTTTAAAAAAACAAATAATTACAGAAAAACTAGTCTAGATTAAAACAACAACAAAATGAAATAAAACACGAGGAAAGACAAATAGTGGTGGAAGTAATGACGATGCTGTAGTGGTGGTGGAAAGACCCTGAGTTGTTGGTTACCGTGTACGTCATAAAATGTACACAATAATGACTTGGT